TATATGATATTACATATAGATGTCTCTCAGATATCTTTGAGAGATCTGTGTATGATATTACATAAAAATGTCTCTCAAATATCTTTGAGATATTTGCTACGATATCTCTGAGACATTTGTATAAAGATATCTCTCAGATATCTCTGAGATATCTGTAACTTCATAAGGATATCCTTGTTACGTCAGTGCTATGTGGGATGTTCTCCTGATACTTTGCCAGTTTCTCGATTCTCGATTTTCGCGATTTGAATTTGGAAATTCTCGGAAATCCAATTCTTGGAACTTTAGATAGTGCCACCCAACAATCACCTACAAACAACCAACAAACGATTTGCAAAAAAACAATTTAAGAAGTCGCAGTTGGCCGGCTAAGTTCCCGGAAGTAATTGGTGCAGTCAGTTCAGCTATGTAAGGAACAGACCTTTTATTTTTTCCAATTGTGGCACTACTGCATGGAGATGGAAAGTTACGAAATACGTGTATGTATATATACATACGTGTCTATTATATTTTTGCTTAGTGCGCAGTATTGGATTTGTTTCGTTGAGCAAGTACTTAGTACAGAATAAACGGTGTAAAGATTGAGGTCTTCACGGCTCTACCACCCGCCTTCAAGGCGTATCTGACTTACGGCTTTGCCCGCTGGGCTGTCCCGGTTAAAGAGAGCGGAGAAATGTCAATACGGGCGGTCGTTCATCGTTTTGTGCAAAATGGTCGCGTCGTATTGCGCTTATTACGAAATAACGAGCGCTTCCATTCATCAGGGTACACGGCCAAACACCTCGACAAGATACACGTTGCACAGACAGGTAAATTATGCTTGACTTTGTCATAATGAATCTCGCCACAAAATTCGATATTTCGCAACACGAAGCAACGCTATAACCTTTGTCCAGATAACAGACATGCTATCTATAATTGCAAAATTAAATTCTATAAAATATATATAGTATTATAATATATATATTTTTATAATTAGATCCATTTATATTTTACATTTTAAGATTCTGTTGAATTGTAAATGAATTATTAAACAAGTATGATTAGTGTACAAAATAGCATTAATGCCATAATTGATTTTATGTTATTAGTATGTGTAATTAAATATTTGTGAATATTCTGTCATACTGCCATCATTGTTTATCTTTAATTTGCAAATATTTTGTATTCTGTTAGCAAGGTGATCAGGTGAAAACTTTAATTGGTATTTAACGTTCCTATATTTATGTTCACGACAGGCAAGTTCCAGAATAGTGGCCTTCTTTGCCGAAATACTGGCAATGTATGGAGTACAAGGAGACATCTCGATTATTTAGGCACAAATGCTCGACGCATCTTCGTCGACAATGTCTTGAAGAGGGTAACTAATAGCCTGGCCGCAGATTTACGAAGACGCACCGCAAGTAGACTCGTTTTTGGCGATTCCGCACCATTCTTCGCTCTCGTTGGCATATCATTGGCATCAGGTACAGGAATATTAACAAAGGATGATGAATTGGAAGGAGTGTGTTGGGAAATCCGGGTAAATAGATTTGTCCGTTTATTTTATTTAGGTCTAGTTAATTTAGATACTTTGTTTCTTCCTCCGCTAATGTACTATTATTCTTACCCAGTAAATACCAAGTAATGATTATATAACAAATATTGTAATTTCCTACTAAAAAATGTAACTTATGTACAACATATAGTCAAGAGTTAAAACGACTTTTGCTGGCAAGTAATTTTTATTTAATAAATTTAAATTACGACGTTTCGACCAGTAATACTGGTCCTTTTTAGGTCGGAACGTCGTAATTTAAATTTATTAAATAAAAATTACTTGCCAGCAAAAGTCGTTTTAACTCTTGACTATATTTCTTTGATTACTGGCGACTTACCATTTTCAAATATTTATTATGTACAACATGTTAAATGGGAAATTATAACATGCTATTTATAACCTATTTACTGGGTTAATTTCTAAGTAAAATCTGTAATAATATATAATATAATAACCATTATTTAGGAAGCAGTTTCGAAACTACGATGGAATATGCCGCAAAATGATAAAAACTACCAAACTATTTGTGTTGATGAGAATGCTGTAACTTTACAAAATTTTGTAATGGGACCTATGATTGCTAAGGGTTGTTCTGCTGCTGTATACGCAGCACGATTTGTAATGAATACTACACAGGACAAAGATACCTCAACAGATATTGATGTCAAAGCGAACGATATAAGTACGTTCCCGTTAGTTTTAAAAATGATGTTTAATTATGATGCAGAATCCAATGCCGCTGCTATTTTAAAAGCCATGTATAAGGAAACAGTGCCCGCTAAAAAGTATTATAGAAATGATAACTCGGCTATTTGGGAGCAAAAACTGGCAGAAAATATGATTGCATTACCACCTCATCCAAACATCGTGGCAATGTATTATGTCTTTACTGATAAAATACCGATGTTACCTGGCTCTTGGGGAATGTATCCTGATGCTTTACCAAGTAGAATCAATCCTCATGGATCAGGCAGAAATATGAGTTTGTTTTTGGTGATGAAAAGGTATTTTTAAATGGCAGATTATACTTGCAATATATATATATATATATTTACACTGTCTAAGATATGCCGCTTAATTTTAGATATGACGTTACCCTGAAACAATATATAATGAATCATAACATTGATATGCGAGTGTCAATATTGTTGCTCGCTCAGCTTTTAGAAGCAGTCGCTCATATGAATATACATGGCGTAGCGCATCGGTAAGACTGATTATTTATACATACAGGGTGGGGCGTTTATCTTGAGACAATAATATATCTCGGTTGGAATAGATTATTTCGGAAAAAGTTTCAGACAAAAGTTGTTTGGTTTCGAGGGGGCCATAAGATGGTACCATTGGTTTGACCTTAAAGAATTATTTGAAGGTCACATAAAGGTCACACCAATTTTTTAAAATGGCATCCCCTATTTTTTATTACATATTCTTGTAGCTGACCTCGAGAGCTTTCCAATTTTTTTGATTACTTGTTACAAAATTGTGTGTTTTCTTTACACCGGTTGATTTGTCTCATTATTCTGTTAAAAAAAGTTAAGGTAAGATGATAAAAAATGAATATTTTACAAGATATTTTGTAATTTATGTCAAAATATTGGAACTTTCAAACCTTAATTACTCAAAAAGTTCTTAATAAAAAAATACTTTGTTATAGCGTTTTGGAAAGCTCTCGAGGTCAGCTACAAGAATATGTAATAAAAAATAGGGGATGCCATTTAAAAAAAAATTGGTGTTACCTTTATGTGACCTTCAAATAATTCTTCAAGGTCAAACCAATGGTACTATCTTGTGGCCCCCTCGAAACCAAACAACTTTGTCTGAAACTTTTTTCGAAATAATCCATTCCAACCGAGATATATTATTGTCTCAAGATAAACGCCCCACCCTGTATATTACATTTGACATTTGTCTCATAAATCAATGAGATTTATCTTAAATACTTTTCTTCTTACGTTGATGTTTACATATATATATATATGTATGTATTAGAGATCTGAAAAGTGACAACATTTTACTCGATCTATCAGAAGAGACTGATAATTCTCCGTCATTGGTTGTAACGGATTTTGGCTGTTGTCTGGCTGATAAAAATCATGGATTGTATCTGCCTTATAACACTCATGATATTGATAAAGGCGGCAATGTTACACTCATGGCACCAGAAGTGATAACAGCAGAACCTGGTCCTTTTACTAATATAAATTACACAAAAGCTGATCTGTGGACAATAGGGACTATAGCTTATGAGATATTTGGGATGCAAAATCCATTTTATGGCGCAAAGGGTGAGAAAGCTCCTTTAAACAATTATGATTATGTTGAAAATGAGCTTCCTGCATTGCCAGATAGCCTTCCACCTATTATCAGCACTGTTATCAAAAATGCGTTGTCAAGAAATTTATATAAGGTTTGTATAAAAAGACAGTCTGGTCAAGATCAAGTTTTAAAATCATATCTTCATGTAAAAACTATGAGAACGAAGTATTAATTTTTGTTTCTAACATATGCATAGCGACTTGATAGCGAACTGGCAGCAACTATAATGCAACTATATCTATGGGGACCTAGCTCGTGGCTGAAAAACGAGGCACAGTTACCATCGAGCAACGAGGTAAATACATACAGTGTTTATGTAAAGGTGACCTTCACGTGACTTTCAAGCAACTGTTCAAGGTCAAATTAATGACACCATCTTATGTTCCCTTAGAGACCCAACAATTTTGCTCAAGTCATTTTTTTGTTAGCCTTCCCCGAAAAGATATTTGCCTGGATTATTTAAACTTATTGTTAGACACCCTGTATGAACACATACACACACACACACACACACACACACACACACACACACACACACACACACACACACACACACACACACACGCGCGCGCGCACACACAAAATCTATTATATTAGATTGCGTAGAGTAGGTAATATGTTAATGAGATTATTAATACAAAACCTTTGTACATTATATGCACAGATTATGCAATGGCTTTTGTGTTTAACCACAAAAGTTCTTTGTGAAGGACGAAAAGAAAATTTACCCCTGTCGTACGGCTTGGTCGTTGATACAAAAGACGATATCAACAGACGAAACGCATATAAACGAACACTTTCGATGCATTCTTGTGGAAGACGGACAATGCCAGAATATCAATTAATTGCAAGCTTTCTCGGCAGGGTAACACTTACCAATGTTAAAAATGCATTAAGATGGATACAACGAAATGTTTATTGAAGATAGTATATGTGTGTTGACGCACACACGTTTATAAAACAAACAATTCGGTCATAATGTTATATAGCAACTTATTTACCTTCAGCATATCGAGAACAATTTAAAACATCCACCTTGACAAATTCAAGAATATGTTATTACACACGCACACGCACACACACACACACACACACACACACACACACACACACACACACACATGCCCCCCCCCCCCCATACACACAAAGTTTCTGTTTCTTACTCTATTTCTCTTGAAGATTGTATTGTTATTTTCATATTTGATTTGTAATATTTGGTTTTGATACTTCAGGAAGCACAAAAGGGTAAAAAAGCAATTCTAAAACTAAAAATATAATTGAAATAAAATTTATTCTCAACTCGATGATTATGAACTAGCATGAAACTCTTTTGTGATTTCAATGCCTTATACTTAAATATAATTTTTACGTATTTATTTCATGTACGATTATTTATTTGATGAACGTAATTACTGATGTACATTGGAAAATTAAAGAAATTAATATAAATATAATCAAAATATGTATGATAATGCACAAATATTTATATATTTTGAGGCACGTAACTAGGCTGTGTTGTCGATAAGGCCAAAACTTATGTCAGTTAAAATACATCGTCGTACTGATGATTGTAGCTGAAAATTAAATACATGGAATATATTTTTAAATTATCTATCATTTATTTCTCTTTATTCTCCCTTCTTCTATATTATTAAGCACATACACGGTTATATCTATCAATTTGGCCAAATTTTACAAGAAACTCGAAACTACAACGAAATGTAATCATATACAGCTTTCAATGTAAAGACGTTCATAAACGTGTCCCTTATAAATAAACCAAGTAAGTACATGTTATTTAAATGCCTAATAAAGCTTATAAATGGTACATATGCTATGTACTATTATTTAATTTGTAACGACTCGTTTCGGGATTCCGGATTCGTGCGGCCTCGCGTCCCGGCTTGGACGCGAGGGAATCGTTTCGTATCACCCGCCGACTCTCGGATGAGCCGACGGGCCGCGTCGTTTCTGATGCCCTGCATGGCACTGTACGACGCTTTCGGGTGGACGCGTTGTCCTCTGTGTGCTTCCCTCTATTCGCCCTCGCCGGATAGCTTCAGTAGCCAGGATCGCGAGCGAGAGAGCGAAAGCACCGTAATCGTAGCTTGAATCGGGATGGGTGTTGTCGCTTGCGAAAGAAAGAGAGTTGTGTTTACAAAGAACGTGCGAGTTTATTCAGGCACATTTCACGGGTACAGTGCGTAAGTCCGGAATCACGTTACGGACGATCGTGATTTAGCGTCCTTAATTGGCCGTAGCCCGCTGTGTACGCGGCCGCTCGCAATGCGGAGACAACCGAGTGTATGTATGTACACGCACCGGCATAAATGCTGTACGTCTCTATCCTTGTGAGGTGCACGCACACAACTAGAGTCCCTGTGTGCGTGCACCTCACAAGGATAGGGACAGCATTTATGCCGGTGCGTGTACATATTTATGTATAACAGTAATGCAATATTTTTATAAAAGTGATTTTGCGAATATAATGTAATGAGGATCTGCTAAACTGGATGCTACGAAATTTCTTCGAAAATTGATACACCTGTAATAAGTCAACAATAACGGTACATATACAGCATACATAACGTTGCAAATTTTAACAGAATTGACAACAGTGGTTTATGTAACATATGTAATTAAGTTATCCTACATATGTTTACATACATTACATATCAAAAGCTTTTATTGTATGAATGCAACTGTAATAGTCTCCCTAACTGTAATTTTAGTAATAATAATGGTTCTTATAATTTCATTTTTTATACTATTAAATTGCATTCAGAATATAAAAGTATTGTATGTTAATTCTTAACACAAAGAAAAGTGAATATACATGGCGTTTTCTTTTTTATATTTCAAACTTTTCTATCAGTGTATAAAGCAGATAACATTTTGTTCAATTTGAAAATAAAACAATATTACCAAAGAATACTTGATTTATCTCCGTTTAACTGTATTTCTTATATTCCATTACAACAAATTTCCACCAAATTATTTGATGAAGAAGAAAGTGTAATTATGCAGCTCAATTTAACGATAACTTACAATTTTCTGCATGCCAATTTCAAAAGGGCAGTAAAACTTGATGTGTCACTCTTTTAACACTATTTAGTGCTTGATATTTTACACGTTTTGAATATGAATTCGATGCTAAATAAAGCTGAAAAGTAAATTTATATCGATAAGAAAGGTGATTTAACTGACTTTTATTTAAAAAACATCCAAGAGATGTCTTGTTAGCAGAGTAGTAGTTGCAATATTTATCTTACGTCTATCTAATTATTCTTTAAAATTACTCCATGTATATTTCGCTCTTCCAAAAAAGGCAGTAATAAATGGACTTATTTATTATTTTCTCTCAAATGTATTAAATGAATATGTGATGTGTTTAGCATATACATATATCCTGTATACATGTCACACGACTTTTTAGAAAGTTCCACTTGCTGTAATGCTTACTGATAACATTTTATCAGTCATTCAAGTAGCTTTCAAGCGTGTGAGAATAGCGCCGAGCGCAAAGAGATAATAAACATCTCCAGGTTGAGTTAGGTTGATTGGAAGGAATGTATAACGCGTCACGCAGCAGTTGCGAGTTACACAGCCAACTCATAAGAAATGTGCTTGTATTACTGTATACAGTTTAGACGAATAATCCTAAGCTTATAGGGTTTCAGAACGTGCGTTTAATTACATTCCTTCAATTCAACGTGAGAAGTGCGCAATACAGATTAATTAAATTACTCAGCTCTTTGCCCATAGAGAATTAATTAAGAGTAACGATGTCTGACAATCTTCCGGACAGCGTGAATACTGGTGAGCATGAATAAAGTAAGAAAATAACTAAATTAAGGAAAGAAGTCAGAAAAGTAATAAGAGAAATTAAGAAGCGCGAAGTAATCCAAGTAGATTAACATATTAGTCATGAAAATATCAAGATGATATTATTTCTTTATCATTTTTTGTGCATCACGGTGACGTCAAAATATCTCACCAAGAGCATTTGTTTGTGACATCGTTAAGACATTGAAATGTTGTGAAAATGATCTTGTTTTACAAAAAGCAAAGTTAATTAAATATTTTACATTAAAAATAAATTGAAGTAATATAAGGTAAACATAATACCTATATATGACTGATCATGTAATCTGTAATAAGCTATTATTATACACGTCACGAATATCATAAAACAGCATGTCATAAATTAATCCCTCCAAAGTAAATCTTGATGTCGATCATATTATGACGTAAAATTCATCATTTTAATGTCACATTTAGTACTCTTCTGAAACCTAAGTTTATTATTACACTTTTTCATGCAGTGCTAGGAAGTAAACGATTGTCCGAGCTCGGGAGAACGCTAACGCACGAGCACCTGGCTCTCGATTTTCGAAAGTTTTACACACCACCGCCGAAGCACCTTAAACGTTTCCTCGATGACTGTCCGTCTCTTCAGAATATCGGATACATTCGGCAGTATCCGTAAGTCGAGATGAAATAGCTTTCGCGTTGTCATAGTTCGATTCGCATGAAATGTAAATTTCCATGCAATCGTTATAATAATCGCCACAGCTGTACAATAATAAATAATTGGTTGAATTAATAAAAATTAAATTAGAGATGGCAAGTATGGATTTAAGAATTTTGTATCAGATACAGCAGTTTATATAATTTGGAGTTTTACGACGGCGATGCGGCAAAAGCTGTTTACAAAGACGTGGAATTATTCAAAGAAGCTGGTGGCGGAACCATCGTGGAAAACAGTAGCCACGGTTTAAAACGCGATATTTCTTTAATGACGAACGTTAGCCGATCCCTCGGAGTTAACGTGATTGCTGGAACTGGTATAACATACTACATGCAATAATAATAATGTTACACAGAGAGAAAAAAATAGTTGCAGTTACCACAATCTCACTATAATTTATAGTCATTTTTGGACCCAACCATATTTTTATAATTCTTCCAACTACGTAAGTTATGGTTGACCTAACAATGTATTATAGTTCTCATAGACACAATATTGGTCCATGCAACTTATGATTTGGTTGTCATAAACCAAAACGAGCTTTTAATTTGGTAAGGTGTACTATGAATATTGCAATAACAACCACAAGTAAAATTTCGAATAACTATATGACAGTAATTTCATTATATTCATTGGTTACATCACTTTGCACTCATAAAGAATAGTACAAGGTAGCATCTTTCAAAGAAAAAATAAGCAATCTTATACGAGTACGTAAACTTTTCCGTATTTATAACACCCTAAGCGGTTTTTTACTTACGAGAGAGTCTTGTACCGCGCGTCCCTCTAGTGAAGATATTCCGAACCACTTCACTTTTGTTTACCATGCGAATAGTAAAGTGGATGATAGAAAGTATAGTTAAATTTACTATTCACCATCTTAATATTTTACCAGAATAATGGTTAAAAGCTTCATAAATAATAGTAAAATTTTTATGCTGGTTGGCATCACTATGACTATGTGGTTGTTATTACTAATATTATAGTGATAATTACTATAAAAATGATATTCCTGACTATAATTATTTTACTAAGCAATTATAGTCGCAAATACTACGTACTTTTCTCTCTGTGTATTGTTATGTATAATACTATTCTATCTATATAATTAATGTCATTACTTATTACATAATTACGCAACATAATAGGATATTACGTCGCGAGCACGCAAAACGCAACGACTTTAAGTATGACCAAAGAAGGAATATACAACCTGATGCGTGAAGAGTTGGAAGAGGGTTGTACAGAGTATCCCGATATAAAGGCAGGATTTATCGGGGAAGTCGGCAGTACTTGGCCGATCGAAGGTATGCACACAGTCATGCGCTAACTTTAATAAGTTGCCAAATACATTTCGTAGTTACAAATGCTTATTCGTAAATCATTCTATTTGGTATACTCGGGAAAATATTTGTACCAACGATAAGAAGTGCATTATTATATTAAAATTAAACATGTAGTATGCTAAAAGATTATAAAACTTTCGAACTAGATTTTGAAAAACGTGTCATTTGCGCGACTGGCGAGCTCCAAGCTCAATTACGTTGCTCCGTGAGCTTTCATCCTGGAAGGGACGTATCTGCGCCTATGGAAATAATGAGAATCTATCAAGAGGCCGGTGGAGATGCAAGCAGAGCCATTATGTCTCACATAGATCGTAAGAGAACCACGAATTCCATCTGTTCATCAATTTCTAACTTTTAAAGCAGGCACTATTGAGAATGGATCGTTGCAGTTTATTTGCTAGGTACGTTAATAAAAAACCTATAATATTTTGGTAGGTACGTTGATAAAAAAGGAACATCTTATGGAATTCGCTGATGCTACCAAATGTTACATTCAATTCGACCTGTTCGGTACCGAGTGCTCTTACTATCAATTGAATCCGTCGGTCGATATGTTGTCAGATGCACAACGTATCAAACGTATTGTACGACTAAAGGAAGAAGAAAAATTGAATCGAGTTCTCATGAGTCACGATATACACACCAAACATCGGCTGGTACGTAATTTTCCGGTTCCCATTTAATTTCTTAAACTAATTTTTTCTATCATTACTGTGGTAAATTAACTTTTTCTACTTTCCGCGACCAGACGTTTGAAAAAATTTTATTAACTTTTAAGATACATTTCGGAGGACACGGATACTCTCATATCGCTAATAACATCGTTCCAACCATGATAAACAAGGGTTTCACGATGAAAGATATCGAATTGATAACAGTTGAAAATCCTAAAAGATGGCTCACCCGGAAATAATCTTCTGTTGCAAATTACACTCTACTGCTTACAACTTAATACTGCATACAATTAAATTTATTTTCATGAATATTGATTTTCTATTAATTATAGACTAATAGAATACATATAGAATATCAAATCTACCACATAATTACTTTTTCCCGTTTAGTGATAAACAATAATAAAAAATTGGTGTAACTTAAGGTAATGAAAACTCGGTGTTTAAAGCTTGGTAATATTTCTTATTTATTTACATGACACATTCAGTAATAAACAATGCGAAAACGTTCGAATAAAATTTTACTTCGCAAGAATATGGATCTCTGAATGTCGATTCGACAAATGGGAAAGATTCTCGAGATATGTCTTTTTCTTGCAAAAATGTTTGCAATTTGGTCCTGTTTCTTGTATGCTTCTGCGACTAATGATGATGAATAACAAAATGTTGCTATATGATTCGAATAAACAAAAACTTGCGAACCTTATCATATGAATTTCAAAAGTGTATCAATTTTTACAAGATATATCACTTTTAACAATGCTTTGTACTTGAAGCTTATAAATAAGTATTGCAAACGGATTTAATGATAGTGCAGGAAAATTGTAAATTTCAATTAATATTAACGAAAAAAATAATTATGCGCATACCAATGTATATTCAAATAATATTAAAAAGATTTCTCGTTAACAATTTAAGGTACTTTATTTGATGTATATTTAATTATTTACTAAAATACTCACACATCTATACTTCGCTTTTCCAAAGAAAATTAATTTAATGATAAATAATCTCAATTTATTATTTTATTCTCAAATGTACTAAATATATGACGACTTTACCATACGCGATTTAATGAATACTCCTGAGTACTCGTCGTGGTCATGATGCATCGTACAGCGAAAAAACCTAATCTTCTTAAATGTAAATTTATTAACAAGCAGAACAAACTTCGTATTTCTGAAAATTTTTTTCCCTTAAAGGGATGTAATAAATAAAATGTCTCATTTTTATTATATGTATAAGGTGGAGCCCAGGGTAAAACCGACCCAGAAATTGTAAAGTTTACTTTAAACTGATGTATTTTCTATCTATTCCACTAAAACCTAATAATCTTAGTGTTTTTATTTAGCGCATGGTTTATTCTTTAAGTTGCATTAATTTGGATTAAAAATAACTTCTGAAACTTATGATTTTCTTAATAAATTAACAACAGTGCTGCTAGGGCGGACTTGCCCCGGAACTGGGGCAAAACCGCACCTACCTGTTTAAAAATTATTGAATATAATATAATATTTATAATATAATATAATATTTTATTACTATAAAGGAAACTTACCTTACTATACTTTGTGCCTATCGAAGATAAACACATAGATTTGTAAACTATTGCTTAAATTATCGTTTTATAATGCTTAACTCAATCTTTGCTCTGCACCTGGAAACACCATGAACTTTCTCGAACGAGTTAAACGGGGGAATCACAGAATACATGGCGGCTACCTATGTTGATCATTGAATGCTAACCAAAGGAAGATTTCTACCTTACAGTTGGTACAATGCAACGTATATTCGAATAAATAAGGGCCTAGTGCGGATTTACCCCACACACACACACTGCACCTTACAAAAATCAAAATTATTATCATATGGACAAATAGGATTTCTATCGTTGAAACATTTAGTATGTAAGGTCGTGAATACGGTTAAATTCGCAGAGCTCTTTTGTTTACATTAGACACAAGGTTGTGTTTTCCAATTACTTTTGAAGAACGAGAAACATCAGTCGTGCTGCATTACTCAAGACAGATGGATCTCAAGTGGAAGCACACAATCATAGCATAACGAGAAAAAGATATTGAAATACGTTAGAAATGTGCACCCGTTTCGGAAATTGCTGAGGCATTAACAAACAACCCTAAACAGTTCGCAATACCGATACGGGCTTTAACAAAAAGAACACAGTGCGCAGAAGGATAAAGCTCGACGAATACGAAGAGGCGAAGAGTATTATACTGGATCACATAAAGAAGAACCAAAAGCAAGTACTTTAGACATTCACCCTGCACTCAAAAATTACCACAATCTAACAGTTCGTTTAGTGTCGGTAGAAAACTGTGTCAAGGAAATTGAGAAAGGGTAAGTTTAAAAATTTTTCTAGTTAATAACTAGAAAAATTTTTAAACTTACCCTTTCTCAATTTCCTATTCTCCAGATTTACCTTTTTATCATAAAGTTGAATTTGAGTTTTATTTTTTGTTTCGGTTTTATAAAGGATAATTATACTTAGATTTTGTTTGTTATACATAAAAATTAAGAAAAACTTTTCTATTAAATATTAACATCTTTAACATCTATTTCTCTAATTCAAGTAAATCCTATAATTTGCAATACATTGGAGACAGATAAATGCGCCATTGCGTTAAAATTTAAAACAACATGAGTTATACTAGTATTATATAGCACTTTGTACTTTTTAAGTCATAAAATCATAATATTTATAAATGCAGATATTTCCGGAGTATCGAGACAGGAACAAGCAATCGAGTACCTCGACCTAAACGGATTAAGACTGAAAGAACTGAGCTACTGACACAAAGTTCATCGGCACCTACAAGCTTTTAACAAACTTCCGCTTTTATAGAAGATATCAATATTCCCAAAAAGTAATTGTACTTATGTTTCACAAGTATTTTACGACCTAAATCTTACTACTTAAATAGTGATCAAAACATCTTAATCTGTCGAAGGAAATTGTATAATTTTGGATACATTGTTATTAGATAAGCTATCACTTAACACTGGTAGTCAATCTTCGCATGACTTGTTTATTAAATTGTTGAATGTATACTTGAATATATGACTGTAGCGAGTATCTAGGAACCTTAAAAAAATTTAATAATGAACATGCATCCATGCATTCAGCGAATAACAAATTATCTCACGGGAGACAACGTTTTTCAGTCTCGTACACTGAAAAATAAATTTGCGCAATCCAAAAAAAACTTGATTTGAGCAACTTATTTGGTTGAATAGTACCAATGGCCTAATTAATTTGAATCAAATAAAAATATTGCTCAGAATGAGATGCTGTTTGCTGGGAAATAATAAATTATTTATTAGATTTGAAATACACAAAGTAAAATGTAGGAAATATTTATGTATATAACTGTTCCATATATTATTTCTTAATGCTGTATTTCTGAAATTGAATAATTATTAACGAAATTTGAATAAACAATTGTTCAATTTAAAAAATTTACAAATTAAATCTTAATAAACGCTTATTATAGTAACAAAATATTAAGTTCAATTTCATTAATCATTTCATGAGAAACTCTTTAATATACTTCAAATGGACTAAATATTTATTTAGAATTTAGCATCCAATTGTCAAAATAAAACAGCATTATTGCCTTTCAAATAAAGATTTCTTTTATTGGATATAAAAATAAGAATAAATACATTTTTATTGATTAGCTCCTTAGGGTTACAAGGCGTTTGTGAAGGAACGTGCCCAAACCTCTTATAACACCTCTCTCTATATCCACTTCTGTATGTGGCGATTGAATGAAAAACCAACAATATTTTGTTTGGTTTTGAACCCAGGTCTTCGGATTACCAGACCAGCGCACAATCCTCTGCGCCACGATCGCCATAAGAATGCATTCTTATGGCGCTTGTGATTGTGATAGCACATACTACAAGCAGCACCATAAATTCCAATTCCATCGTCATCAACGTACATGCGAACAGTCAGAAGCTTGGCCCACCTTATTCGGTCGTCCACATCGACTCGTCTCGTCGAAAAAAATATTACATGCGAACAGTCAGAAGCTTGGCCCACCTTGGCCCACGTCGAAAAAAATATTTTAATATTGCGGAATTGCAAATGTAAATGAAACTACCCAATAATTATACCTGAACGAACATAATTTATTAACGCAAGTTACTTTAATTAAAACTCAAACTAAACACTTAAACTAAAATTGAACGGAATTAATTATAAACACTTAAAGTAAAATTCAACGGAATTAATTTTTTTGTCTGGCTGCACGTTGCCTATCCCAATCTCTGGCGTTGTTAAAGACAGCTTTAAGAGCTTTTAAAAATTCTGGTGTTGACGTATCGCCCAATACGTTGCTTATTGCTTCTGAAAAAGCAAGAACTAGAATGTAATATTTATATACTTCAATAATATTTATATACTTAGTAATGAAAGTGTTTGGACGTTTGTGCGTGCGTGCGTGTGCGTGCGTGTGCGTGCGTGCGTGTGTGCGTTACTTTGAATGCACGTGCAGAATGCCATATTTTTGAACACATCCTTCTCCGGCACTTTCTTTATTGCAGTAAATTGCAACAGGACCTCTCGTCGAAAAAAATACTTTAATATCGCGGAAACATTGTCCGTTATGCGTTTATTCACCGTGCATAGATTTGGCAGACAGTAAACCTTAAAAATGTATCAATGAGATTTTAATATAATAATAAATAAATGAACGCGGCGCGCGCGAGCGCGTACTTGTATGTGTGAAAAATAACGTAAAAGCATTTGCCAATAATTAAAATTTGTCAATGAACTTACAAATTGTTGTCTCAAGTCTTGGTCATTTTGTAACAGTTGGTCGAATTGTAAAAACGTATGTACATCAGAGAATGGAACTTGCAACTGTTGGGTTTCAATAAAGTCAAACAATAATGTAGGTCTTGTGTCATTATGTTCCTTCCTTTGCCTTTTATCGTTTTGTTTGATCGCTATATCCAACGACGATTTTAAATCGGAAATTTGGACACTCAGACTTTTGAACCATTGTTGACAGTAATCCTTTAACTCTATATTTTTAGGAAAAGTATTATATTATTACTAAGTATTATATTATTATATTATATTATTACTAATGTTTAGCAGTTTTTTTATGCGTACGTCCCAAAGTTTCAACAACTTTATTTAAATCTGCTGCAGGTTCAAGAGGTGTTGAATTTGAAAAAATATCTTGCTGTGCTGGCGAAGTGTCTGCGTCCCCTAATTGTCCTTCTTTTTAATGGAATAATTAAGTTTACATTAAGTATACATGCGCTTTAAAATGGCATAATTACAGTATAACTTAATATCTAAATGAAAAAATTTACAGTTATTTGTGATAGTTTCTAATGATGACAACAATTGCAATTTAATTGGGATATTTTCCCTAGTTACATTTTATAGTTAACACTAACTTTTCAATTTTGCATCGATGCTTTCTTGTATATTTACAGGATCCGTTGAAGGACCCGTCGACGTCCTTGAAATAAAATTCTGCAGTGCAGCTTGAGACTTTAATTGTACAATCTGTCGCACTGATCTTTTTGCTATACGATGTCTCCGAACACGCAGTCTCGTTAATTCCGTTGTACGTAAAGCTTTATTCATATTAATTACTCTCGGTAACTATTTATGACGAATTATTTATATGCAAACTATTTACTGACGTTGCATATGAATTAA